GGTTCCTTGTTCTCAGGTTATGGGGCAAGGTAGAGAGAGCACCTGATATATTATTCATTACATGCTTTCTAAATGTGAATGCCCCGACCAAGTTCTGCTGGAAAACGCACAAACGGGTTTCATTTCCACGTGGCATTTCCATGTCCCCCGTTCAGTCGTGCTTTCGGTTAAGAAACATTTCTAAAAATGTAGGTCTGCACTTATATCGCGCGCTGGTTCTTCTCTCCAGCTTCAAGTGGGTTGTTTTTTTTGCTTATTGGATTGAATCCCTCTTCCAAAATATTTAAGCCTTGCATTAATGGAGCGACTCCCTTTATTAAAAAGGGCATCTCTCTGGGAGCGAGTCATGTCCTTGCTTTCGAACCTTATTGGTCACGTTTAAGGTTTTGATCTTGATCTGAAGGTAAGGTCTTGATAACCTGCACAACTCCAGATGGCTCGTGGCTGGTCCAGGAGAGAGGCTACTTCTGTCCTTACAACGTATTGTCACAGGTGTCCTGGGTATGACCGCAAACGGCATCCGACTGGAGGGCCCGGTGGCAACATGGTGGGGTTACTCGTGGTGGGATAGCTCCTATAAAATACCACAGTGTTGCAACCTCCGGGGTAAGGGGAGTATAGGATGCTTGAAAACCCTAGCTCTCACTGCTCTGTGGGGATTTCTTGGTTGGAGAAAGGCTAAGGGACATTACCCTGACAGAAGCACGCCCTGGCTGAGGCATTAGGCAGCTCTTATTTGATACTGTCCTACAACCATCAAGGCACTGGACTTGATCTGGCCTTTGGATCCTGTCTCAATGGTCTAAAGTGGGGATGGCAGGTCTTGGGCATCCTTCGCTCCTCCATACCCTTGTCTAGGCATACGCGTCAAAGGTCTCGGTTGCAGGACTCTGCAAGCAGGTTCATTGCTGGACCTCTTAATGCGTACACCACAATCCAGAGGATTGATGGTTGCCTACTGTTGTCTTGGCTAGCAAAGGATATTCGAGCTGGATCCTCCGTATTTTGAAAGATGATGTTGCGGGGCGGTGGCAGGGCATTCTCTCGGAAGACTTTGAGAGCAGTTTCCCTCTTGAGAAACGGTCCATATACGGTGACCGTCAGGCCTGCTGCAGAAGCCGCCTGTCCAAAGGGTTTCTGAGCAGCGCGGCAGGCAAGCTTGTTATAAGATATAGGATGAAAGGAGCTTCTGTACGTGGCCGACTACACTGCTGAATCGCTCGTTGTAACGCTGCTGAGTTTATGCTTGTGTTGTCAGAGTGAGAGGTGCCTTAATTTTGATTTTACAAAGGGCAAATAGATACGTGGCTTCCTTTTAAGATGATCCATGGAATGTATACATCTGCCAATTTTTATTTCCCCCCCCCCCCCCCAAAAAAAAAAAACCAAAACAAAACAAAACAACGACTTTTTTGAAACTGTAGCTAGTAGGTCACCGGAAATGCGATATGGTACTGTCACTTATTTTCACTTATTTGCATTGAGAAGCACAATGAAAATAATTCATTAAAATGAATCCCCTTGGGGGTGAGGACGGTGTTATTAAGTGCCTACACCCAGCCATGCTGCTCACAAAACCAAAAGGAGGCACCTAATCAAATAGACCCTGAACTGGTTTAGTGAAGAAATATTCTCATTTCATGGGCTAGGGGTGACATCTAAAACATGGTATTTTTTTCACGTGTTGTTTGGAATAATCTGATTAAACTGGGTGCTTGTCTTGTAATTTCTTACAGATGGTCACAAGAACAAAGAAAATATTTGTAGGTGGATTATCGGCGAATACAGTAGTGGAAGATGTAAAGCAATACTTTGAACAGTTTGGCAAGGTAAGCCCCAGCACAGTTCAACACTACATATTTTCAGTTCTTCTTTTTTTTTTTTTAAGTCTATTTTGAAAGACTGCAGTAAAACTTTCACTCAAATGCGAAGCCAAATCTTGCCTTTTACATCCATTCTCCAAAACCTATTTACATCCTTCTGTTCATCTTTGTATTTGTCATATGCATGTGATCAAAAAACATTTGATTGAAGACGGCATTGCTCATCGTTTATAAAAGTAACGAAAAAACATTGTGCATATCTGAGGGATGAATGTGGCCTTAACGATTTTATAGATTTGCAATTGCCATAAAATTGGCTTTCTGCTCGCCAATCATGTTAGCGGTCAGAGTAAGGATGAGTGGGTTGGAGGAGCCAGGAAATGACAACGGCGCCTAATAACGCTGTCATAGAAATAACGGAGGTAACACCAGAACGTCTTTGGGTTTTTATTTTTACAAAAGTTTCGTGAGCCGGACTGCTGGAGATATGCATGGAAACAGCTGTTACACAACATGCTAGGGGTGGACTTGGGGCTGGTGAAAAAGACTTGACGCTCCCAGCAAGTTATAGGGGATGTTTTCAAGAAAGAAGCAAATGTAAGTCCAACCGTACAGCTGGATTTTTGTAAATAGGGCCTTGTGCCAGCAAGGAGTCCCGCTGGCTTGCATAGGGCTTTGTATGAGTTGGACCTCTGTGTCCAGGAGGAGCTGGTTTCAGGGTTGGGACCACATGTGCGAAACCAGACAAAGTGGTTCTGGGGCAGTTCAGATCCCCGAGACTTTTCAAACCAATCGTTAGACGTTTAAAGCGGTGATGGGCTTGGGAACCGCCAGCCTCTCTGCAGGCAGCCTGGCTGAGCCCTGTAATGTTGTCTGTGGCTCGAAAAAGAACCCAGTCAACATAAAATCACACATCTGTCTGAAACCGTTTTTACCTCCAGCTGTTACAATTCTACCTAGGATTGCTAAAGCTGAAAAAGGGAAGGAGGATATATATTTTTCCCTTTTTTTTTTTTTTGTACACAGTTGATTTTACTTCTGGCAAAATGCAGTCTGCCTGTTTCCCTTTATTTTTTTGGTTTGTTCGCTTGGGTCATTGTTGCAGCAGCGGTTGGAGACAGGAAAAATTTTAATACGACGGTTTATGCCCCAAACCCTTCAGATCTGTGCCCTGCACAAAGATTCGTGACAGTTCCCCAAGTGCCATGCAGAAGGCTCCTCAATCACAAGTGCAGCGGGACAGCACTGTTCAATGACAGGTGTATTCAGTGTGCTTTAGGACTGGGTTAATCCAATTTTAATTTGCATTTGGCTGAACCTCCCATTGAAACGGAACTGAAACGGTTTCGACTGAACACCCAAAGGGTGCAGTTAAGTCGTGCAAACTTTAGGGGCCTCTGACTTCCAAAGCGCCCCGGCAAAATGTATATGAATGACAGCCTTCTCTCCACTGAACGAGCCTGCATAATATTTCCTCCTCAGCAAGAGGCATTCAGCAGAGGACCCAGAATTGTGGCATGACACTTATTTGCAAGACTTTAGGTGACATCCTGTCGGACCCTTTCTCAGCCACATGAAACCAGAAACACTGCAGGCAAAGTAAGCAAAGCATAGCATGCTTCATGCCTTGCCCCATTCTTTCCCCCCATCCTTAAACAGAAGACTGAGTGTAAAGCCCACCCCATGTGTTTCCTCCTATCTATAAATCCAAGATTGTGCGAGACCTTTCTACTGCGTTTCTTCACATGCCACAGTGCAGCTGTTACCCTGCTGGTAACAGGGGCTCAGGCAATAGATCCCCATTGATTCAACAGGGAGGGGACTGGTGGGCAAGTGGTTTTGCTTGTGTATCCTCAACTCTCTTGGGAAAGGCTCCATCATATGCTTGCAAACACCCCTGTTTTGGTGGCGTTCAGGGCAGGCGGTCTGGTGCATGGCTCTGGGCAGCTGCAAGGGTGGGATTAGATCCAGAGACGGAAGGGAGTTTTGTGTTACAATGGGGAGTGTACGTTCAGGTCAGGATAAATACTCTGCTACTTCATTTTCATTGCTATAACTTGTGTTGGGAGTGGTTAGAGCTTCAGATCATTTCCCCTTTTTTTTTTGTTTTTTGGTATCAATTGCTGCTGCTAGTCAGTAAGCTAAGTGGTCCTTGAAGACCCCGGGATGCAGTAACCACCAGCACTCACAGGTGACACTTGTGCTGCTGCTCTTTTAAGCTAATTGGCTCAGCTAGTTTTGCTCTACGATAATTCAGCAGTGGTCAAGGCCAAGCTATAAATGCAGCCACGGTTTTATATTGGCCTGAAAGAGTGAGTTGATCTGTAGGAGGAGAAGAAACAGTTGACTTCTACTGACACGCACACAGTACCTCGGTCCTCCAGCTGTTGACAGGCCCTACACCCTGGATGCGCCGTGTGGCCGAGTTTCACGGTTTTATTGTTCTTTAATTGGCCTTGCAAGAGGACGTGGCAGGATCCTCCCAAGCAGAGCCGCTCTGAATTAGAGTCCCTGGTTTTTGTTTTGTTTTTTTTACTTAGCTAGCCTCCACGAGCCTTGGATCCGTATTGTTTTTTTGAGGGTCGAGGAGAAGAGCTGATAACTCGCTCCTCCGCGGGATTGATGGTTGTTTTGCAAACCATTCATTTTATTTTCAGTAATAATCTTCGATTCCGGCAGGATGTTTACAGCCTGCCGAGCCTTTTATTAAAGGATTACATGAGCTTTTGGATGTTTCTTCTGTAGTTATTTCAAAACGGCACAACTCCTCTAACCTGTATTTTTGAAGTTAATAATAGTTTCAATCTATGTGCTTTGCATATTGTCTGGATGCACCCTTAATATAGTCTTTTAACTCTGCCATCTGGTAGTTTCGTGCTTGCAGGTTCTGCGTCTCGGAGAATACAGACAGCTAGGCTGAGGTTTTTCGAAGCTGACTGGTGATTCTGAGTGCTTTAATATGTGCCTGTCCCAACGCTGGCACCTTAGGAGGAGCCTGATTTATTTTTATTTTTATTTTTTTTTTGGAAGGCACCACTTCCTGGAAACTGGGTGCTTTTAAAGAGTCACCCAAATTTTGAGTCACCTTTAGAAAACCCTGGCCTTAGCCGTCGGCGGTAATAAAAAGTCTGGCTCTTAGATCAGACAGAGCAGTGCAGCATTGCGAGGATACCAAGCCATGCTCCCAGGGCTGGAGCACCCGACTAGATCTTGGGAGCCCCGAGTTCTAGTCCTGGCTCTGCCGTTACCCTGCTGGGTGTCCTAGGCCGAGACCCTTCTCCACCATGCACCTTTGTTTCTGTGCCTGTAGAAAGGGGACAATGCTGACCTCTCCATGGAGCACTTTGGCTAGGGACAGAAATGACACATAAACCAGTATCAGCGATCGGAAACCAGTTCCAATCTGTAGCACAACAGAAGTTCAGTGAACATAAACCGCTTTCAAAATGGTTGAAACTGGTTTACAATAAACCTGGATGGATGTAGTAGCTGGCTTAAACTGATTTAGGTTAAGTCAGTTTATTCAACTTCTGTCCCAGATCCCCTCCAGATTCAAGTTAACTTATAGTGCCCCAGAATCCCAGGATGCTTTGCACCTCCCCTGGAATGCCCCCCGCCCCAGCAGGGTGAGTGGGCTAGCCTTAGCCCAAGCTGTCTGCGCCAGCTGAGAAGGGAGGTGTGCTCTAGCGCCCCCCACTTTCTGGCCTGGGCCACTGTAGGCATGCGGCTGCATTACCAGAGTCAAAAGTGAATGTCTGTTCACCTGCTTACTGGTTCAATCTACGCAGCTTGGACTAACCTGCGAAGATTGAATGGATTCAGCCTCGGGCTTTTTGACTGTCTGTGCTTAGACTTTGACACTGAGTGCGGAGGGGTGCAGTGTCAGAGCCAGGCATTTATTACGGTTATTTTACTAACCGGTATTATTTTTGTGCACCGTTTTCTCTCTGTCTCACATCGCTGTATTATGTGCATGCACCCCCATCATTTACCTTCACTGGCAATAGGAATACGCCTCCACCATTTACCTTCACTGAAATAGGCATGGCCTGCCCCCATTTTGCAGAGGTGGATCTTGGGAAGAGAGAGGGTAAATGATTTGTCCAAGGTCCCAGAGGACCTGTGCAGGAGACCCAGTGAAGTAACTGCGGGCAGGCTTTGCCCCTGTGACCTGGTGGCGTTTTCTAAGGGCTTGACCATGAGAGAGCTCAAATGCAGGTAATGCCAGTAGGTGTCAACGGGGTTTCTGAGTTTACAGATACCTGATTATAAGACTTGACCCCAGGAGTTTTCCCCCTTTGCTAGTGGATGGCTAACAACACCGAGCAAGTAACGCTTATACTTTAATCAGTCTTAAGAGAGACATCCGAGTCTTGGGGGCAGCCTGTTGCCTGCATGCCAGGGGTTGGGGACCACGACGCTATCGTAATACAAGTAATATGCCTTGCCGGCTCAGCAGTGTGGTTTCAGGTTTTGAATGGCTGATGGCATTCTTCCCTTCTTATACACTCACAAAAGAAAAAGAAAAAAAGTGTATTATATAAGGCACATTTAGAGGAGCCTCCCATGTTTGATAAGAATGACTCCAGCTGCTCTGGCTTTGAAATGTTTGATTTACCCGCTGGGGTGGAAAAAATACTTAGCCAGTGATGTGGCTCTTGAAAGCCTGTTTTTACTTGCTGCGCAGCCGTGCTTCATAGGAAGGGGTGGCTGCTTTTGTAACCTCAGGTAGCTCTCCCAATGCACCTGGGGCATAGGACAGCAACCTGATCCCATGTCATTCTGTACTTGAAACACAGCAGGCAAGAAAGGGCCTGAGTGTTTAATTGAAACCAGTTTATTTTCTACATGAAAATGTCAGAAACTTTTTAAAAAAAAAAAAAAAGCAAAAAAACAGCTGAGGTTGTAAGAGGCTGAGAGAGTCCCTGGCATGGCTGAGCAAGGATCTGCTTGACACAGAGATAAAGGCAAACCGCATAAAGGCTCTTTCCGAGGACTCGACGTGC